CAAGAAAGAAAAAAATAATAATTCAAACTTGGGGTTTAATTAAAGTCACCATAGACTTAATTGCAGATTAAAAACAGTTTTGTTGATGCAATTTGCTGAGAATGAAGAAGAAAGGAGAGAACCTTTTTCAACTGGTGTGTCACATGATACGACAATTCGAAGGCCATTAGTCCTCTCTAACTTAAGACATTTAGACTTTTTTTGTTTGTGTAAGCTTTAATTTCTTGATCATATCTTTTGACCTAGATTTTTAATGAGACCGGACCGATTAATTGTCTATTACTTGTAGCATTAACAAAATGTTTGCCGCTTAAGCAAAAAAATCCTAAGAACACGATCAATGAAACCCTAATTAAAGTGGACAAGCACTCATTCCTCTTTTGCTGCTGCTGTGTGTGTGTGTGTGAGAGAGAGAGAGAGGGAGGGAGGGAGGGAGGAGGGAGGTTGGTTGGATAGTTAAGTGCAAGCAAACAAACATTGCCTAACAATAAGGCACGAGTAGTTAATTAAATAAAAAAAGCAATTTGGTGGTGAAAATTTGTAAACTCTCATAGAATCCAAGGACTATAATGTAGAGTATATGCTGCTTTTAAAAATAATAAAAGTGACACAATTTATCTTTTTTTCCCTTATAAAACAATGCAAAATGTTTAGCTGTTTTCTAATTAGCGTCACTAATATGTGGCATCGATCATAGTTAAACTTCTGATACTGCAGGATTGTATAGACAATGATGGACCATCACACATATATATATATGTATATGTATTGATTATGATAGACCATGGTCCATGCATGCATTCATAAGATACAATTTGGAGTAAAGATTAGGTAAAGAAGGTCAAAGTTTCAAGAAAAATATGGCCCTTGGGTGACGATACCCTAACTACCCTTTCATTGCAAGTCAGACCTAATTAAATTTTGATAGGGTTTGGTCTTTTCTTTTGGTTGATTAGGACATATTTTTTCATTCTTTTCCTTAGTTGTGATCCAATCAGACAAGAATAGTCCAAACCAACTCTCCAATTCAAGTAATACCTACACCATTAGATACATTACCCTCTGTTTCACACTTTAATGACATGGGAAAGAACCGGAGGTAAAGTACCTTTGCATTCTCTTTTTCCAAGTAACTTGCAAAAGAAATCCAAGGGCATCTTTGAACTTTTAATGTTAGGTTACTTTTTTTTATATACCAATTTTCAATGTTAAAGCCTCCTATTTTTCTAATCATGATTCACCCATAGTGATGCACATATTGGTAATTATTTTATTATTTGAGCTTGATGCACGGACCAAAAAGACATTACTCAATTATTTAGTTGGTAGAATGCTCAACTCTCCGTGTAAATGCGCTCGTTTTTGAACTCCCTCTCTATTTTGTCCAAAAAAAAAAAATTAAAAGTGTAAAAAAAAAATTCCTAAAGCTTCACCAAGTGAGCAGTATAAAAATGAGCAAATCAGTCCTTATAGTTTCAAAAGTGAACAATTTACCCCTTTAAATTTTACCTCTGGCCACTTTGTTTCTATATTACGATGCACATAATTGATACTTTTTTATTAATTCCGAAAGTATCCTCCAATATGACCGTTATATCCCATCTTCCTGTAAAAAGACTTTTGCATTCTTTTATTCCAATCAAACTTATTTTTGTTTTCTTCTTTCCATTTGGATATGCTCTCGATTCATTTAAACTTATAATATATATATATATATATATATACACATATATTTGTGTGTGTGTTCATATGTAGTTCTTTTACTTCTGTCTTTTCTAGCTATTAGAAGAGTTTTATGAACTAGAGTATATCAAATGGTCTTTAATCTAATATGATATAGCTGGGGATATAATTCAACCATGAAAGATACGTAGTCAAATCCCCTCTTACAAATGATTTGAAATGTGGGATTGTAAATTATTTTTTTACCTCAAAAGTGTTTCTCATTCCTCACCTTAAAATAGTTTTTAAGGATTTCATTTACTTGAAACTTTAATAAGTTAAAATAGTTTTTAAGGCTTTCATTTACTTGAAACTTTAATAAGTTAAAATAGTTTTTAAGGCTTTCATTTACTTGAAACTTTAATAAGTTGTTAGTTAGTTTTGTATTCTGAATGATTTTTTATTGTTTTGCTCTCCACTGGACGAGGCCATGAATACAAATGAGGAAGTGTTATTAAAAAAATAAATAAATAAAAAATTACCAATGAGGAAAAAGTTAATAGAAACGTGTTCTCCAATTCTGTATAAAAAAAGGAGTAGGAAACCCATTCAGCCCGAGTTCATATAAATCAGACAAAGAGACCCACACGAGTTATAACACTTAAGTCAATTTAGGGCCATGTAAGCCTTAGTTTATTACACTGGGCATTTAAGATATTTGTCTTTTATATTTTATATTTAAAAAAGTTAGTTATAGAAGATAGTTTGGTAAATATACAATGACATGCAAAGGAGGCAAGTTGCTCATTTTTTAAACTACATGGACTAATTTGCTCACTTTTATATCATAAGGGGTATTGTGCTCACTTGGTGAAACTTCAGAGGGATTTTAACTTCAGAGGGATTTTTTGCACTTTTACACACAAAAAAAAAAAAAAAAAAAAAAAAAAAAAAAAAAAAACTTGATGGACCAAAAAAAATACATGGAAAATGTCCATAAATTAAGTATTTATTATTATTTTTTTTTACTTTTAATCTTTATTTACTACTTTGCTCCTCCTACCTCTAATTTTGAAAAGTGAAAAATTATTAGTAGGCTATAATCCTTGGTCAAATATTTATTATTAATTCAGAAGATAAAATTATTATATTTACATACATTTTTTTTGTTACAATTTTTTCTTTTTAAATTATATATTTTTCTTTTAATTTTTTCTTTCTTACCATTTTTTCTTTATTAAAAAAAGTTAAAAATAATATCCTTTCCTTTTAAGAACTTTGCAAAATACATAATGAATCCAGGTTTTCTAAAGATGTTGGCAAATACCGTGGCTAATGAATAATGATCATCGAGGTTTTCTAATTAATTTAATTTATTTTTTATTTAAAAAAAAAAACTAGTTTAAAAACTTTTCTAAATACTTATAAAGTATGAAGAAATGTGGATCTTGTTAATTTCAGAAAAAATAAAAATAAAAATAAAAAGTGGATCTTGTGGTTGATGTACAAGTGCTCGTGTCTGTTATTGGGGGTGAAAACACAATGACCAGTTTTGTACGGTCTGTATAATTTGGTCAGACAGAAAAACAATGGCAGCTCTATTATTACTACTAGTATTAAAATATATACACGTATATAATATATCTATATACAAACACAAATACATACTTTATCAATCTGGATATAATAGAGTGACCCTACATAATTTATTAAGGTGGTCAGGAGCTAATTATTATCGCGTAAGAAATAAGTGATTCAATTGGTCTGAGATCTTCAAATAAAAGGTTTTACATCCATTATTTTCTATACACACATAAATAAAAAATAAAAAATAAAAAAATAAAAAATACATAAAATCGTCTATTAAATGTATTCAGTTATAAAAAGAATTGTTGGACTCCCAGAAAAAAATGTTTATAATAAAAAAAATTATCATTTTAAACGTATTCATTAAAAAATAAATAAAAAAGAGAAAAGTTAAATAATAAATTATGTTTAAAATTTTTAATTTAAAAAAAAAATTATTTTCTTTAGCAAACAAGGATTTCAGTAAAAGATAATTAGAATATATAAATTGAATCTTTTAACACCCATTTCAAGCCATTCCCCAAATACATAAAAGAAGTGTAATAATGCGAAATACAACAACCTAAATATGATTTCTCATATTTGAAAGAAGTTGCTAATATTTATTTCTTATGTGTAGATAATATCTATTTCTTATGTGTAACGCATTTTAAAAATCATGAAGATCACAAAACTGGCAATATATTTATAGCTTGGATCAGGTCCTCTAGATAAGTAAAAAATTAGTGCAATCCTAATCTCCTTCTATGAAATTAACAAGTATATGAAATATTATTTTAGAAAAAAAAAAGAACGTTTTAGGTTTCTTGAAACAACAATAATTTCATAAGGAAACTAGTGGAACAAGTTTTTCATGTTGTCAAAAATTTATATACACTAGAAATGACAAAAAAAAAAAAAAAAAAAAAAAAAAAAAAAATAATGATATATGAAAACGAAATGCCAAAAATGAACACAAAACTTGACTTCTAAGGGTTGTTTTTTTTTTTTTTTTTTTTTTTTTTTTTTTTTTTTTTTTAATAATGTAAATGTAAGTATTATATCTTTGTTGGTGTGAGTTGTATAAAAAAAAATCAATTTATTATTATTTTTTTTAATATAAAAAGCAGGATAAAATAAAAAATGAGTTTATATTACTTTTTTCCCTTTATGTTAAAACAATCTCACATAAAGTGTGAGCGAGATCAAATTTTGAGAGTGGGAGCGGGAGAACTACAAAATTAAGTCATAAGTAATGAAAATTAGAATAAGGGTGCGTTAGCAACGTAAGAGCGACATCTGTTAAAAAAGATGGTGTGACTTAAAGAACAATAGAAAAAATAGATAATTAATATCCATCATTTTATATATGTATGTGTGTATATATATTATATAACAAAATCTCTGTAGTCCCATAATTTTGAAACTATTAAATATTAACATTTGCTTTCAACAAAAAAAAAAAAAAAGAAAAAAAAGAAAAAAAAAAGAAGTGAGTATTCAGGTAGTCAATTATTTCTTTGGCTTCATGGAAACGTTGTTCGTAATTGATTTTATCAAACATTATTTTTTTCCATTTTTTTGATGGTAGTTTCAACCAAGATTATATATATATATATATATATTTGTTTTTCTACAAATATACATATTTTATATACACGCGCACACACATACCATATATACACATATGTGATATGTATGATTATATATATACGTACATACACACATAGTATATAATATATATTAATTGAGAAATTACCAACTCTACCGGTCCCTCACCTATTCTTATGTTTTTTTAATCACCCCCCATTATTTTTCTGTCCATCGTTCCTTTTTTGGTTTTTCTCATCTCTGAAGGAGATTGATTGATGTTCACTCACAGTTTAGAGACACCACACCATCCTCTACCTCACCTGAACAAGAAGAACTAGTCCACACACACTCATATTCTGAGATTTCAAGACCCAAATCTACTTCTTTGAACCATTCTTTTTAGAATTATTCCAATCAAAACGGCTCGTACAAACTCTCTTTCTTCTTCTTCTCTCTCTATATATTTATATATACAGAATTTGAAATGCAGCGAAGTCTGCGATTTTTCTGGGTATTTGAACCGGTCGGAGAATCGCCGTCGATTTGATGGAATCGATGTTACTGTTGTTCTCATTGTACGTATCATTTGATGGAGTTGAGGATTCGGTGTACTCGATTTGTTGTTCCTTCGAAATCGAGGTTTCGCACTAAGCTTCAATTAGCTCTTCTTCTTTATGAGGTAAACTCTTTTAGTCTTCGATTTTGTTTTCATGCCAAATTTGTTGGAATTTGGGATTTAGGGTTTTAGTTTATCTTCTCTATTTGTTTCTTCCAATGCTTGGGAAGGAGGAGTTGGGAGCAATGGAATGTTGTGCGCCATTTGGTTGCTGAGAAATTGGGAGGAAAATGAAAGAAAATATGGAGTCTTAAGACTGACACTCTGACCCTTAACATGTTCCCAAATTTTTGAACGTTTTTCCCCTGGTAACCAAACTGAGGAGGGTTAGGGCTGATTTGTGGTACGAGTTATGTATGGGTTTAAGATCTCTATATTTTTGGTTATTTCCTTTTCAGTTCACTTTTTTCTTTCCAATTTTTTTTTTTTTTTTTTTTTTTTTTTTTTCATAATTGTTGCAATATGTTCCCTTCCCTGTTTTTGGTATTTCTTTAATGCAACTGTCCATAAATATCTTTAGGAGGCAAATTTGTGACAAAAACATCTCTCTCTCGAAAAATTCTCTTCTTTTCCTTTTTGTCGAGTTCAGATTTTATCCTTTATATGCATATATACATGTAGATGGATTTAGGTTTTAGTTTAGCTAATGTTGGTTCTTGAAATTGCTGGGTTGGAGTAATTTGGGTCAACCATGTGGCAAATAGATGATTTTTCTAGTTTTCATCGAGCTCAATAAGGTTATGGGATTCAAAGATTGCTTTTTTGGTTCGGTATGAAACAGTATGACTATAATCTATACAGATCTGTTGGTGTTCTTAGTAAAAAAATTCATATGCAACAACATTTTTTAATACGCATTGATACTTTAACTGGATTTTGGTTTGTTCTTATTGTAACTTGTTGTCATACGGATCAGGGAAGACAATAATTGCTTATTTGGCTGGTACTTCTGTTCATCCCCTCTCCCCTCTTCTCTTTCAGATTATATTGATATTTGTGTGGTTTGAGGCTGCTTATGCAAAATCTCAAGAACACCAGTTGCGATTGCAAGGTGCGGAAAAGGGTGGAGATAATATTATATCACATTCCTGTATTCATGATCAGATACTGGAACAACGGAAGCGACCTGGTCGCAAGGTGTATTCTGTTACCCCACAGGTTTATGAGGGGTCTGCTACCTTGAGACCCCTTCACCGCAAGGGAAGGGCATTGCTTGAAATTTCCAAATTTGCGGAACCACAAAAGGATGCAAAGCATCCTATTAGGATTTATTTAAATTATGACGCTGTCGGTCACTCGGCTGATAGAGACTGTCGAAATATTGGCGACATTGTGAAGGCAAGTGTTATCAATAAATTGGTGACTTTTGGTCTGTACATGGGTCATAGCTGTGAAATTAATATTGGATTTGTGCCTTTTGTTTCGGTGATCCAGCTTGGGGAGCCTCCTGTGAGTTCTTTTCCTCGAATGCCTTATTGCAATCCTCATAGTGATCCTCCAATTTATGGTGACTGCTGGTACAACTGTACTTTGGATGATATATCTGGTGAGGACAAAAGGATTCGCCTTCGGAAGGTATTATTTTTTTCTACTTCATTTTCTCCCTCTTTTAAACTGCTTTCTGCAGTCTTGTGAGGCCATCATGCTTAACACACAAATATGATATTTTATGTTATATTGACATTTTTAGAACAAGGTTTATTGCCATTTAAGTGAAGGATATGGTGCAAATTATTTCACGTGACATCGTTGGATATATATATTTGTTTGTGGATGACCATTAATTTTATTTAATGCTTGTCTCTGAGCATTTTAGTTCTATCTTTTCTGATACTATAAAATCTCAATATTCATGAAGATTGTGTTTTGCATGTATTCTACCAGATCTTTTTATTTATTTATTTATGTGCAAGATACTAATTTATGGAAGCAAAAAATCATAGGCTCTAGAGCAAACAGCTGAATGGTTCAGAAGAGCCTTAGCTGTTGAGCCTGTAAAAGGAAACTTGCAGTTGAGTGGATATTCTGCATGTGGACAAGATGGAGGAGTACAGCTTCCACGGGAATATGTAGAAGGTAAACAATGTTGCAGTAGATGTATGTTCATCTCCTCGTCATTTGCTTGTCACTATTTGGGCGAATTGTGGCTTTTCTAGGTAGTCTTGTGCTTAAAAACCAACCATTGGCTATTTACTTGTTCTTCTGTCTTCCTAGAGGGTGTTGCTGATGCAGACTTAGTTCTTTTGGTAACTACAAGACCCACAACAGGCAACACGCTTGCATGGGCAGTGGCATGTGAACGTGATCAATGGGGTCGCGCAATTGCTGGTAATTTTCACCAGCAATTCTTATTGTGGAGCACCATTGTACACTGTCATAGCCTGAATGAATAACTAATGGTACTGTTTCATATGCAGGACATGTTAATGTTGCCCCTCGCCACTTGACTGCAGAAGCAGAAACCTTGCTTTCGGCTACACTCATACATGAGGTGAGTCATCTTTTAATTATGTAAACAATAGAAGTACAAAGTATTTAATTTTTTCTTTTCTTTTTGATTAGCTAGTTTGGCCTTGCCCAGGTTATGCATGTTCTGGGATTTGATCCCCATGCCTTTGCGCATTTTCGAGATGAGAGGAAAAGAAGACGTGGCCAGGTAAATATTAATATATTATAATGTGAGATCTGCAATCTGAACAATGAGACATAAATTTCTTGATAATAACAAGAAGCCATTCTTTCTTTTTTCAAAATTTTCTGCAAATGTGATTTTTTCTGCAGCTAGTCTCAGCTAAGCAAAGGGATCTTTGATTATAGAACTGAGAAGTCCTTCATCCATACATATTCCTTGATTTCTGAAATAATTCCTAGACCTAGATGATTAGTGAAGAAGAATTTGACCATGAAGCAACCATTCAAACATCCAATATTGTGGATAGTATTGATTTATGAGTTAAAAGTTCTCTGCGCTGTATTTCAGTGCTTGCCTAAGATTAGTCCCAGATAACCATATATTGTAACAGCAATGGTTCAAAACTGTTATGTATCATACTTAATTTATTCTTTTCTTTTCTTTCTTTTTTAAATGAAATTGCTGCCTTAGAAGCTATAAAAATGCTATTTTCTCTTGCTGATTATAGTTATTTATCATCTACCATTATTTATTTCAAAAGATGGAATTTATAACTCTGTAATATCATGCTGCAGCTTGCCCACCCAGCATGCATGTTGATTCTATATCCTTAATCTGGACCTCCAGTGGATATGCCACCCCTTATGCTGTGACCATGAGCCCTGTGTAAAGGAGTGTTTGGGGAAAACCATTCTTTAAATAGATTCATGGACCTATTGTGCATAAAGTTGATTTTCATTCACAAGAATGAGCTGTATAACTATATCAGGCTCTTCAAAAAGGCACTTTATGGTGAGGGCAGTCCAGGTGGACTTTTTCAGATAATGAAGTAAAGCAAAACTATTTGTAGGACACACTTTCTTTTCAGAAATACTGTATTATTCGAGTAGTTTTAATCTGTGGAGCCTATGGCAGTTTGCAATTATTTTATTTTGGCCTAAACACCATCTGCTTTTTTATGGCTCTACTCATTTTCTGCAGAAGAGTAACCTCCATTAAGAATTTACTATCATGCATGTATAGTGGACCTCAGTTGTACTTGGTTCTATTTTTAGGTTACTGAACAAGTCGTGGATGAGAGGCTTGGACGGATGATAACACGTGTGGTGCTTCCCCGTGTTGTCATGCATTCACGTCATCACTACGGGGTACTTCATTACTTCTGAATTTTGTGGGATTCATTTTTATGAAAAATGAACATTTTTTTCTTTTCTTTTTTGTGACAAGAATCCAACATGTTGATAAGTGTGAACTGACAGGCATTTTCTGAGAATTTCACTGGTTTAGAGCTAGAAGATGGGGGAGGGCGTGGCACATCAGGTTGTTTATCATTTTTCTAATTCCTATATTCCAAATCTATATTTTTAATATTTTTCTATTGTTTTTGGGCATTAATATTTGTATTAGCTGCTATGGAAATCATCATTTAAGTGTTAAGCTTCTATTTCATAACCATTATTAGTGCTTGGTAAAATGCTTGTTGGAGAGACCAGGTTATATGTTGTGAAGTTACATGCAGAAGTAGGAATATCTGGAGAAATTTTATTTTTGGAAACTAAGTAAAATTATAAACATATACTTATCTTTGAAAGCAAGAATTTGAGTGTGAATGTTATAGTTTTTAGCACTCCTATAATCAATATGCTGTTCATCACTTACCGCAGGATCCCACTGGGAGAAAAGGCTTCTGATGAATGAGATTATGACGGGCTCTGTGGATACGAGATCAGTAGTTTCAAAAATGACACTGGCTTTATTAGAGGATAGTGGGTGGTACCAAGCTAATTATAGTATGGCAGACCGGCTTGATTGGGGCCGCAACCAAGGAACTGAATTTGTTACCTCCCCTTGCAACTTCTGGAAGGGGGCATACCATTGCAATACAACACAACTATCAGGCTGTACTTATAACAGGGAGGCAGAGGGTTACTGCCCGATTGTAAGTTATAGTGGAGACCTTCCTCAATGGGCTCGCTATTTTCCCCAGGCTAACAAAGGTGTGTTTTTGAGCTTTCATTTCCCATCTTTGTTCCCTCTATATGTGTGTGGATCAATCAGTGTAAACCATGTTGTTTCTGTCCCATCTCTTTGTTCCCATTTAGTTATCTTACTGATCATATGATCATGCATTTGGAAAATAATTGTGCTGTTATATCTAACTAAATTTCAGATTCAACTGACATGAATTGTAGAAACAAATTGCTCTGCATCATATATCAAGGTTTATACCCCCTTTGCCCCCTCATTGATCTGTATTGGCACACATGCATCATTGAGATATATTGGTATCTTGTTAATGAGCTATATCTCAGATGTCACTGAGACCAGGCTTTCTTTACTTGAGTGACAAGTGTTCATTTTGGTTCTGATTTCTTAAAAAAATTCAAAACACCAGCAAGACTTCCGTATTCTCAATTTTTTAAGTTCCAAAATTATTTTTGTTACTGTTTTCCTATGATAATTCTATCAAAGGCATATGAAATCAGAATAATATGAGATATTGGGAGGGCTCATCATGCCTTGTCATATATAGCAAAGATTGTAACTGTATATGGATGAAGGATAAAGATTCTTCAACCATATCTTTTGTCTAGACTTCCATTAGTTTATATTTTCATGTCATCCTATGAGTTGGCTCACTAATGAAGAAAATCTGTTGTTGGAAAGGTTTTACTTTGACCTCTTCATAAATCCCAAATTTTGATACACATATTGTTCTAATACATATGTGAATGTATCCATGTAGCAGAAATGCGAATGTTAAGAGGGATGTTAGGAATAACTAGGAAAGATAAAATTAATAATTAAAGGATTAGGGAGAAATTAAGTGTGGAGCCTATTGGCGATAAATAAAGGAGAGTAGACTTTGGTGGTATGGACACATTCAATGTTGACCTATAAATATGCAAGTGAGGAGAGGAAGATTGATTTTCATATAAGGTAAAAGACAAAGAGGTCGACCAAAATAAACATGGAATGAAGTGATAAAAAATGATCTAAAAAAATTAAATCTAGTAGGAAAAATTAAGGCAAGGATGATGATGACGACGACAAATGCGAGTCAACATTATAGAATTACCATTAGCGTTAGATGAATGTTTTGACATGAGCATTAAGTATGACTTTCCATTGACTTCTATTCTTGGTCATTGCAGGTGGGCAGTCATCATTGGCTGATTATTGCACTTATTATGTGGCGTATTCTGATGGATCATGTACAGACACTAATAGTGCAAGGGCACCTGACAGAATGTTGGGTGAAGTACGAGGAAGTAGCTCAAGGTGAGATCTGATCATGGAACCTCAGATTCACAGAATTGAATTTTATAGCTTGATTGATTATTATTTCTGTTTATATATATAGGTGTATGGCCTCATCTTTGGTACGTACTGGGTTTGTACGGGGTTCAATGACGCAAGGAAATGGTTGTTATCAACACAGATGCATAAACAACTCACTAGAGGTATAACTTGGAAAATTAATGTGTGCTTTATTTTAATTGAATGGTTTTGTTGATTATATGCATATAGGTCAGACCCTGGAATGCCTGTGACAAATGTGCATGTGTGAACTCATTTGTGCTGAAACACGGAACATATACAGTAATAAAAAAAAAAGTAAGGAAATATCAATTTCTAGATTACCTCAAGGAAAAACGGACTATACTGCCTAATTTGTAACTATTTTCCCTAGGAGAATGCTAGCCTTGCTATCCGCTTAGGGACCATGATGTTAAAATTATCTTTGTGAATAATCTTTAGATTATGAAAATATTCTCGAGTCTTGATCAAGCAGACTTCGACTGAACTTTGTTCATTATTAGAACCAGCAAGGTTTTCAGTGGTTCACCTTTGAACATAATCTGTCCTTTTTTGCTGCAATGCTCTCAATGTAATTGTGAACATATCTTTTTAGGTTGCTGTGGATGGCATTTGGAAAGCATGTCCTGAAGCTGGTGGACCAGTTCAGTTTCCCAGCTTCAATGGTAAATCTGCCATTCTATCTGACCTTCCTAATGCCAATCTCTGTTTGTATATATTGCTGTCCTCAAGTTTTGTAATGTTTTAAACTGTAGGTGAGCTGATCTGCCCGGCTTACCACGAACTTTGTAGCACAGGCCCTGTTCCTGTTTCTGGACGATGCCCTAGTTCTTGTAATTTCAATGGAGACTGCGTTGATGGAAGCTGTCATTGCTTTCTAGGGTTTCATGGTCACGATTGTAGTAAAAGTGAGCACTTTATACTTCTTTCCTCATTGACATAGTGCTGTATGTCTAGAGGAATTACACTTTTCCTGGGGTGTCTTCGTTAATTTGGTGTTTTTCCTTTGAGATTTTGATGAAAATTTTCTTTGCAGGATCCTGCCCTAGCAATTGTAATGGACATGGCCAGTGCCTTCAAAATGGTCTTTGTGAATGTAACAAAGGGTATACTGGCATTGACTGCTCTACTGGTAATGTGATGTCTTTTAGAAAAGCTATTACAGTTTGCTTCTTTTCTCCTCTGGTTAATTATGGTGAAAATATTTTACCAACTATTGTAACCTTCAAATGTTTAATTTTAAAGGAATATATAAATAAGTTTTATTCATCAGAACAGTCATTTATGTTTATAAATGGCAAGAGAAGGATCAACATAGCGGATCATTCCCTGAAATTATCTGTAGGTCAAATTTCAGCATGATTTATAGGCATGGCTGACTCAAGAGTTGTAATTACCAATTTGCATGTACATAAACAGACAACACGCACACTCAATCGCACAAATAAAACTTGCCTCCATAGAGAGGTTTTTGGCTTGCTGTTTGATGCATTGAGAGTTCTTTTCTCCTTCCACCATTACGAGGTTCCTTGTTTTTCTCTATATAACATTGTGCTTCCGTGTGATATGCAGCTGTTTGTGACGAACAATGCAGCCTTCATGGTGGGGTCTGTGATAATGGAGTCTGCGAGTTCCGTTGCTCTGACTACGCTGGCTACACATGCCAGAACAGCTCCATGCTCCTCTCCAGTCTCTCAGTTTGCAAAGATGTGCTAAACAGTGATGTGTCTGGGCAACATTGTGCTCCTAGTGAATTAAGTATATTGCAGCAGCTAGAGGAAGTTGTCGTGAAGCCCAACTATCGCAGACTGTTACCAGGTGGTGCTCGGAAGTTTATTAATCTCTTTAGAGGCAGCTACTGTGATGTAGCTGCTAAGCAGCTAGCATGCTGGGTAAGTTCATCTTTTACACCGTCACTTATCAAAAAAAAAAAAAAAAAAAAGTTCATCTTTTACACTGTTCACATTAAACGTTCAAATTAACCATATTAGTTTATTGTGTTTTTCCACTTTTGCCCTTTCCTCTCTAATATTAGAGTCATAAATATGAATCACAATAGAGTGAGTACCTACAGTCTATGAAGCGTGGATATAGATGAGGGTGCAGTACGATACAGAAATAGAGATATGACAAATCTCAGAAAAATAGACACAGGCATGGTAGGGATAAAATAATATAACCATAATATTTTTTAAAATTGTATTGGAATCCCATTTTTTTAAAAAACTACCCCGTTGTGTCTCGAAAGTGTCCCATCCGTGTCCAGAAAAGTAGTCATGTCGGACATGTGTCCATTTGTGTCATGCGTGTCTCTGTCGTACACGTGTCCTACACAGCCACGACACCCCTTAGAGGAGGAAATTTTTTTGAGCCTAAAATCTACAAACTAGGGTCTCAGGTCCTCTCTTGTTAGGGCATCTCTTGTTTATCTAGTAACCACCTTGGTAAGCAACATCACAATATGAAGCTCAAGCCCTCCACGCCTCCCAAAATGAAGAAAACTATAATTTCTATTACTAGATTCTTGTGTTCCATTAGAATGATTGCATCACTCTTTCATGCTCTAATATTAGCCCATTGGTTGGGCACAAAGGGGAGTAGACTGTAGTTACCTACTAGTATAATGTCCTACATGGGGACTCTTTCAAAATATGCAGTCCAATACCGTAGAACCAAAACAGTACTAAATTAGAGATAGACCAAGTTAGTCAACCTTTGGAAAAGGCACCATCTGCATTGTTTTACCAATTTAGAAAGTCAAGCTCGTGCATAAATTTCAAGTTGAATTGGTTAATCTTTTTGATGTTTTGAGCAACGCTAAGTTTTGATGCATTGGAATCATGTGAAGTGTAAAGGTATGCATTTTTTCCGTTTTAGTACCACAACCCTTCAAAAATTCTATGCAATGGAAATACCATACAAGTTGGAAATTAGTGGAAATTCGGTAATGTGTAAAAATCTTTGGAGTCTGCTTCTTTAGTATATGTGGATCCGTTGCATTCTGGTGTTAAATAAAGCTAATGCTCAAGCTTGTTTAATCGCATGAAGAGGAATGACCGTGGCAAAACCTACTTAAACCATGCTTGAACAGTAGCAGTTGACCTTGAGTAACATTCAAGCTTGGAAGTTTAATTTGGCCCAGTTTGAATGTAATATGACTTATGGATGTGCATTATATTGTATGGCACTTGAATTGTCATTTAAGTTTTACAGGTGAAATTTACTATTTTGAATGAAATTTTCATTATTTTCATTAATCTGCTTGAACCAGATCTCGATCCAAAAGTGTGACAAGGATGGGGACAATAGGCTCCGGGTGTGCCATTCTGCATGTCATTCATACAACTTAGCATGTGGAGCGTCGCTTGACTGCTCAGACCAAACCCTTTTTAGCAATGAGGATGAGGGTGAGGGCCAGTGCACAGGCTCTAGCGAGATGGAAGTGCCATGGTTTTGATTGCGGCGCAGCTTCCTTTGTAGTGACAATTCCTCTATTGAGGAATCCTGTAAAATATAGGTAGCTTTAATTTTCCCCTTATGGCCTTGTAATTTTTCTAGCTTCTTTTTTCCTTTCTTTTTTATTTGGGTAGGAAAAAATGGCTTGTGTTGTTAGAAGTAGGGCGGTTGTTCCCCAGCCCAACGGTCATTTAAATATGATTGGGTGGGGAATGTTTTTACTGAGATTGGTCTCTCCAAAATGGAAGTCCAAATGTAGAGAAAATGAAAATGTATGGGATAAAGAAAAAGGGAAAAAAAAAAAAGAAAAAAAAAGAAGAAGAAATTGAAAGGGAGTAAAGGGTTTGTTTTGTGGCCTAAGGCCCCGAAAGAATGAGGAAAATCCTCTTACCATTGTGTTCATAATTTTGATTCTCGCTTTCAATTTTATGATTCGGTGTTTATATGAAATCATTATGCGATGTTAATTTTGCTGTTTATCGATCTGAGTAGCTGCGATTAGCAAGTGGTCAAAGTGACAATAAGATGGCCTTTGTGCAAGGAGTTTCACTATCTTATGTTTTTATTTTCATATTTTGGTAGATAATGTTCGTTATTTGTAACTTGAATGGGATGATTATCCTCCAAAAGAAAAGTGTTGGAATTCAGAAATCAGCTATAATAAATGGAACATTACCTAATTTACAGTGTATAGGTTGGGAGGTCAGTAGGGAAATGATGTCTTTCAGAGAAAGCAAGCACTTGTGATGATTTCTAAACTTGTAGAAAAAAGAAATAAATCAACTGTAATGCATGGTCCTTTGTATCTCTGGTATGCTTCAAAATGAGAAATAATCCAAACGTATGATATTTCGCTAGCCTAAACCCTAAAACCCCAGTAGCACTTGAAGTGTTTTACCTTTAAACAGTAGCACTGATATGCATTACATAACAATTTAAAGGTTGCGTAAATTTCAATTACCTTTTCTTAGGTTTGTCAATATCTTACATACACCTCTTACCTCTTCTAATGTTGTGGTTTATGTAACAGATTCTCTTTCTATTATTGTTACTACATGCGACAGAGATAAACATGATATGCTGATGTCACTAACACAAAATGAATAAAAAGTCAATTTTCCCCTTCTAATATATGAATAATAGCACACATTCTATGAGCAAAATCGTAAAATAACTTAGCAATGTTGCCATTATTATTATTATTTTTTCATGACAAGAATGTTAGGGGTTAGTGGTTAGAAGGGAGGGGGAGGATGCAAGGCTCAAACACGGGGAGTAACTTAACCACTCAGGTAACATGACACTTGTCTAATGTTGACAAATTAGACCGTCATTATTTTTAGGGAGGTATGTAAAATTATGAAATTAATAGATGATTTTTGTGATTGACGAACTTTGGGTGATGCTTGATAAGAGCTCATTTGTAATTACTATTATTAATTTTGGAAAGTAGTTGCGAACACGGGATCAAATTGTGAAAAAATTGAACCATATCAACCCATCCAATTCAAAAACATGAAATCAAATATCAATTCATCCAATTCAAAAACATGAAATCAAATATCAATTCATCCAATTTGGTCCGGTTCAATATCTTTTGAATGGTTCAAATTTTATGTCGAGTGAGGTATTTACTTTTCTAAAAAAATTATTTACCTTCAATCAGTACATGTATCTATGCTTGCAATTGTAAGTTCAATTATAAACTTCGAGGTCATCTGAGGCCTCTGAGGATGAATCTTAGAGTAACGATAAAGTTTTTTCATTGTGATTTAGAGGTGACTAGTTCTATATCTGAGCCTCCCAAATTCTATAATGGTGGAACCTTGTTAACTAGATTAATCTTTTTCTTCAATTTTATTTTTTATTATTATTATTTTTTAAAATTGTACAAGGAGGAAAGATAGTTTTGGGTCATTTTGATATTTGATGGTTAACTAAGAAAATATATATATATATATATATATATATATATATATATATATTTGATGGTCTTTTTCAGGCAATCTTAATTGGATGTTGTGGTTGGACTGGTTATTTAATTAAGCAATGTACCTTAAGATAGTAGGGGATGTAGTCATTTTTAATTCATGCTTGCAGGACTGGATTGTAGTACACTGTACACATACATTTCTTACTCTAGTATCATAGTATATCGTACACCCCACTTGCTAAATTGAGAAGCTTAACGTTGGAAAGCAATGGAGTTCATCTCAGGCAAGCTATTACTTTGAGTGCGTGTGCGCGCGCGCGTGAGAGAGAGAGAGAGAGAGAGAGGAGTTGCTTCAAAGAAATTGCAAACACATAGCACACTCAGCCCCACTAAAGCTCAACGTCAGAGGAAGCGTAGGGAGAGAGAAATGGTGAGGAAGGATAGAGAGAAAACATTAAAGGTAAGAGGTAAATATATACATATATACACATATATATATATATAAGGTAACGTTGAAACACTTTATATTATGAGATTAGTAGTATAAATAATCTTTAAATATTTTTGGAAGAGTGAAAAGGTGAAATGAGTATTACAATACTAATTTATGTCAGAATTTTAATTGAGAAATATTTCTGTACAATGTGAAAAGAATAAGGGTGTTTTGTGCACACTTTTTCAAATAAATGGTAAACATATTACGCGTAATATACATTAGAGGTGTTTTTTTACGCTTATTCCAAAAATAAATAAGTGAATTTCGAATAACAATTCTTAGGTGATTAATTAACTCGAAATTCCTTAGATTTACAAACATGTTAATTATTAAACTTTCTCTCTGCAACAACCCCTTCGTCCCCTCCTTTTTTCTCCCTTCCATGGGAGTGGGGAGGTGACATTTTTGCCTCCCACAGTTTCAATAAATTTGGTGTGTGCCAATAAGTTCACTTTGTGGGTGTTTTTCACGTCATTTTTGCTTTTGTTCGACTAGATCTGCTTATGTTTAGTTTGTTTCCGACTAATATAAATGGATGTGCTATTTTCTCTCTGACTAGATCTCTGATCAATGTTGGTTTTGGTTGTCCTCGACTTGATCTAATCTTTTCTACTTGATTTGATCATGTGGGGGTTTGGGTGGTTTTTCCCTTGCCGGAGGGGTCTTGTGGATGTAACTTTAAAACTGTTGCCTTGATGATGGCCAAACCTTTAGATCTTTCTTGTTGCTGCTCTTCTCCCTTGGTAGTTTCTGTTCTTGAGCTTTGACTCTTGTTCTCAATAAATTTGGAGCATGTTCTTCATTTTTTCGTGTTTTACTTCAAAATTTGTATGCTTTTATTTAACTTGATTTTTGTCTTTGTACCGCCATTGGTGACTTGGCCTTTGTGACTTTACAATGATGAAATATATACTACGTACATAATTATTCAAATTTGCGAGTATTATTAATTTCATTAGGTTTTGCCCTACAAGGATAAGAGGTAGCTTCCCTCTTTATGTGAGCAACTCATGTGGGCCTTCCCATAAAAATTTCAACTCCAAAAAGTCTGAAAAGTGGGTTAACTCAGAGCATACTTCACCTTTCTTGTGTTGATAACAAAAGCCCATGCAAAAAGATCGAGCTCCCAACCATGAATCCTCTCTACAAACCCAAAGCTCCCAACCATGGAATCTAACCTTCACTAAGGAATCCGATTGCAAATCACCTTAAACCTCCATTTATTCCACTGATCCACCACAACACTACACCATCATACATCCCAAAATTCTCGAAAAAACAAATAGACCTTAAAAAATCCGTAACAAAACCATTACAACAGCCAAAAACTTCAACTGCCAAACCATTACAACGAACAAATACAACCCATTTATAAGGACAAACAAACCAAGCCTTACCACCCTCGAAGCAAACATCTCCAAAACTGATACTAAAAAAATCAACAACAGCTATACCTTCCCTCACATAAGTCTATCCACCTCCAATTCCATCCTCAATTTCAGGTCAATCACACTCTCATTTTCCTACACCTACCATAAAACTTATACGGCCGACCAATAATGTCATACAGAAGAACACTAATAGCTCAAAGGCAGCTCACCACCAACCTGCATCACCAGGAAACTTACCAAGGAATTTCAACCCACTGCTGTACTTATCTCCAGCTCACCAAATTGATAGGCTGCAAGAACAACTTGAATGGAAGGATGAGAATTTGGGAAGAGCAATGGAGATGTATGATAATCAGAAGAAGATCAATGCTGAACTGCAAATGGAGCTCGCCAAGGTCAAGCTACTGATCAGCCACCTACAGCAGCCACCGGCTACCACCTCCACAGCCACCACCTCCTCCTCCAACGGCACTAACCACGACACAATGGTAAGCCCAGGTTTGTCTCCAAATTCAAATTTGAATCCCATACACAATGTTTTACTTACATCACCAAGGCAGGTAACTACTTCATTGCAGGCATCAGTCCAACACTATTCTTACAGCTAAAAATGGTAATACCATTGATCACTTTCCACAACCTACTACAAATATCCAACAGTCCCCTACCACTACATTAAAAGTTATACCAAACTCTAACCTACAAATCACTGGAAACACTACATCTATCCTACTACCAACCCAACCAAATACTCAATGGACAAAACCATGGACTGATGTAGTAAAACAAAACACCAACAAAATGGTTCTTAAATTTTACAGCCCCAGTTCACACTCTCCATTCATCATCAACCCTCCTCAAGAGATTGTTGAAGAAGGGTTAAAATTTTGGGGTTCCCTCCACCTGGTTGGTAAATCATTCCATAAAAGATTCCCCTTCAAGGTGGTCCAAACTGCTGCAGCCAAACTTTGGACATCCCATGGTCTTACACACATAATTTTGGGCGAAAACAACATTTGCATATTTAGATTCAGCTTCTCATCCCAAGCAGAGAAGGTTCTCTCACTTGGACTATGGTCCATTGCTGGACACCCCTTCTCCCTGATGAGATGGACCAACCAAACACATACACAACCATTAACCATTGCCTGTATTCCAAATTGGATCAAATTCTTCAACATCCCACTAGAATTTTGGATAGTAAACTGGCTCAATTACATAGCTAGCTCAGCGGGAGAACCATTATATGCAGATCAAGCAATTGAAGATAGAACCAAACTCAAATTTGCAAGGCTGTGTGTAAATATTGACCTCAAGAAACCTCTGAAGAATGAAGTCCAACTTAGAATGGATGGGAACTTAGTTGAAATTAGACTTGAATACCAGTGGTTACCAAAATTCTACAGTAAGTGCCACCAGCTCACTTATATTGTCAGCTCCTGCCCATTAAATATCATACAACCTCCACCGCAGTAGCAAAACAGTCTAGCTCGACCACAATCCAGCCCTCTAATGATTGAACATAGCCCAGCAATACAACCAGCCACAGAATGGGTGACCATCAGGAGAAAAAAGAGCAAACCACAAGTCAACAAAGACCGAACATCCAAACACTTACCCCATACCCCTAAAACAAAACAAAATAATAACCAATTCTAA